GTGGTTCTGCCCCCCTTGGTGGGGAATGGGCTCTCAGGGAGGCGGTGGCGTTTTGTTGCGCGACCCAGGGCCACGGGCGCCGCGTAAGGTCACACTGCCGACGTTCCACTGGGCCACATTTCCCATCATCCTGACGCTGTCCATGGTAGGTGCGCCACCTTGTTGGATTTAAAGGCGTTCTTTATCCAGGCGGGCCTGGCTGAAGGTATTCGGGCTGGGCTCCGTTGCCGCAGGGAAAGCGTGGAACTTGTCGGGGCGAACCGGCTTCCAACGGGTTTCAAATGTTGCCCTGAAATTCCGCACAGCATTGCGAGAGTGGAGGCGGGCGGCCCGGGATGGCCAAACTGCGTTATGCAGCCCCGGGGCCATTGAAAACACACACGTGAATCGACAACATCCACATTAGTGGGCCACGGGGCGTGGCCAAACACTGGGGCAGATGCACCGCAAAGAATATGCAAAAGTGCGGCGCAATCGTTTGGGAACACCAAAGGGCGTCCCAACGGTGTGGATTTTTGGAGCGTCGCTGTATCGCAAAAAAAAACAAAAACAGACAGCTTCGTTGAGACGGAAAACGCCACTAATATTGCAAACGCTTCCTTCTCTGTAGAAGACTTCGATTCAAGACAGGGAGTGCCGCCCCCCCGCATGTTGTATGCAGCCAGGTGTGATAAACTTTCCTCCCTTACTATTTTTGATATTACTAAAGATGTAGGGGTAATGTTTCTTTCGCCTTCCTAGAAGTTCGGCGCGTCCCACTGACCCCGCCCGTTTGCCCCTTCTCGCGTCACAACTTACTCGCCAATGGGTTGGCACGTTGTTGGAAAAACAGAGGAGCACGTCCGTCGCGAACTTTACTAACTCCAGCCACGTTCTTCACGGATGCCTCGATGTACCGATTGGGTGCTTTATCGTTTGCAAACTCGGAAGGAGCCTCGCTTGCCAAAGGGGAGTGGGGGGCTTGGAAAAAACACCTCCCATGATGTTGCGCAGGCGGAAGCGCGAGCGGTGCACTTAGCATTGCTTGCTTTCCATCGCCGCATGAAGGACCCACTGCACGTATGCGCAGGCAATACGACGGTGATATATGTCATGCCCGAAAAAGAAAAAAAATGATAATACCACTTTGTTCTTCCTTTTTTTTCTCACGATTTCTACCTGTTGAAGAAAAAACGATGCTGATCCAATTCAAAAAAAAATACAACCCTATCCAATTTAGTCTATGGACCTCTCACGCAGAAAAAGAATTGACAAGAGTGGGGTTTGAACCCACGCCTCCGGAGAGATGACGACCTGAACGTCACGTCTTAGACCACTCGACCATCTTGCCGCTGGACGGTGGTGACCGTCCGAGAGTGTCTTGCGGCAGACAATGCCCCCACTCTTTCCCACACACACATACAGAGATAGAGGGAGGGAGAGAGGGACTCACCGCGACGCGCAGTCATGAGTGCCGCATCTTTTCCGTCTCACAGACAGACTGCTGAAGAGAGATTTTTCATGCATACACTTAGACCGCGCCCTCTATTTCAGTTTCTTTTTTGTTATTGTTTTCTCTTCTGCGGCGCCCTACCAACAGCCAGAACACTACGTCTCCTCAAAAGGCGCTCTACCAGTATATCACCTTTCTCTGGTTTTTTTTTTCAACTCGATGACCATCAAAAATCTTCACTGCTCCCTCAAAAGCTAGCACACACAAAAAAGCAATGCCAACAGGTAATGCACGAAGTACAGTAAGGGGAATCATTATCAAAAAGTGAGCAGATAATCTGATTCCCGTTGTCATTGACGCATCATAAAGAGGAGAGATTAACCGCTAAACAGTGGAGTCGAGATCAAGGAACCATACATTATGCAGCGAAAAATAAAACGCACTAAGCAGAATTGGTTCGCGTCACACGTTCACTTACCTTATCTGCTAGGCGGCTCAGTAGCCTTTCCATTTTGTCACCCATCTGCACGTGGAGGATGTGCGGCAGCATCTTCTCAGATATCCCGAGCCAGTTGAGGATCACATCAATGTTTACCGCCACATCACCACCAAAGCGAAGCTGAGGAGAAAACTTCACATTCCGCAGGGCTTTCAAAGTGCGTTCATCCATGGGCTTTCTGGTCTTACTTACTGCTGTACTCTCTGCGGCATGAGCATCGTCCACAGAAACATCAGCAACAGCGTTAGCAGATGGTGTTCCAGTGGATCGCCCCTCGTCCCACGCCTGGTCGGCCCTTCCAAACTTATGGAACACCTCTGCGTTGCTCTTCGCCGTGAAGGAACGTATGAGTTGGATCAGCTCCTGGAAGTCCTGGAAGCGTGGGTTCCCCGTCCATGGGTGGGCCTGGTCCAGGGTCAACATAAAGCCGACCTCACCGTCACCGATCTTTTGCCTGGAGTAGAACTCAAATTTGTTGACGCCACGGAAGCCAAGGATAAGAACCTTAACGACACCAGGGCGGAAGAGCTCCATGTTCTCCGTGTCAAGCACGAGCACCTTCTTCACCACAGTGCCTGCCTCGCTCGGACACTCCGCGAAGGAGAGTGCCGCCATTGGAAAACTCGCAATGAGGGAACCCGCACTGTTCGCACCAGTCGGGGCGCTCCCCAGGAGCAGCGTCGTCTGCTCCAGCTTGATGTGGATCTGGCCGCACGGAATACGGGTGAGTGCATTCCCCATAAAGGCAAAACACTCAGCATGTATCTTCTCAGCACTATTGTCACGTCCACTGCTGTTCCCACCATCATCCTTATCGCTGGTGACAACTACATTGTTGTCGTTCAGAGAGAGTGTGACTGAGGGGGACAGCGTGCTCTCATTAGGGGTAGCAGACGCACGAAAAACGGGTGTCCATTCGCTCCTGCCAACGACATCCTCCAGCTTTCGCGTGCGCGACGCCTGTGCCGTGTAGGCGCCGCTGTCAAGCAGCTTGGTCGCTGTTATCTTCCGCTGTGCCGCAACAATATCACTGAAGCTTGTGATGGTATTAAGGAACGCTGGTACCGTACTCGGAGTCACGACGACGCTGCTCCTAGAGAGGAACACGTCGGCCTCTACTGTTGTGTAATCCTCCTCTCCGACGCCGTCCAGGCAGCTGGCGCGGAACTCCGTCACGTGGCACTCAAACACGTCCTTCAGCTGCCGCTCCTTGAACACCGCGTGCAGCTTCTGCATGCACAGCACCTCGCGAAACGTGCGGCCCGCCGGCGACCGCATCAAAACGGCCGCATCGCTGGCGTTCTCAATGAGGAACGCCTTCAAGTAGACATTGTCGAGGCTCGCCACACCGGAAAGAACACCCTCTGAGCGCAGCATGAGGGTACGCACAGCGACATCGAAGCACATCTTGCGCCACGCACGCGAGACAGGCCGCACCAGGTGCAGCACGAGACCCACCCCGCCGAGAGACGCCTGCTGTGCATTGCCAGAGCCAAGGTCGAGGCGCACCTTGCCGTGCGCCCCCGTCACGACAAGCAGCAGCGTTTCCTCTGAGAAGCCCTGTCGAATTGACTCCATGCGCCGCTGAATAATGACGTTCATCTTCGCATTCTCCTTAATGATGTGGGCACCGCGTGCAAACATCTGGCGGATGCTTTGCAGAGACTCACACAGCGACTTATGCCACAGCTCCTGCACAATGAAGAGCTGCGACACGTGCGGCGCACGCACCGTCATTTCTAGCCCAGCACTGCCAGACGTCTCTGGTGGCAGGTGAATGCAGACACTTGTCACAGCCCACTTACCGCAGCGACGGCGCACTGCGGCACAGACCTCCACCTCTGGCAGAAACACCTCCAGTGTCTTTACCTCTAGTTTCGCTTGACACTCCACCCGAAGACGCCGCACGCTGAGAACGAAGGATACTACTGGCGGTATGAATCCGGTTGACCCGCGAAACCACGAAGGTGGTCGCTCAGAGATGCGCTTAATGAACAAGTCAATGCTGCCACCGCGCTCGTCGAGGAAAAGAGAGAGATATACATTTGATGCAGGCTCCGTCGTCAGAACGACACGAAACCCTGTGATATGCATGTGAATGCTCATGAAACCACTCTTCTTGTGACCAACCCGCTTCGTTAAGTTTAAATGTCGGAGTCGCCGTTTGAAAGATGTCGTTTCTCCTGTATTTTGGCGCTGCTGATGTTGTCGCCGCAGTGGGCTACCACTACTCGATGCTAAGCGAATTTCAGCCAACGATGCAGCAAAGGCGCGAGGAAGTGGTAACGCCACGTCGGCAAGAGAGGAGTGCAGTGCAAAGTTGTGACCGACGAGGTTTCGCTCCCACTCCCGAACCAAGCTGAGTGTCTTTGCCGCGCGTTCGTTGTTGTCACGCTCATACACCACCACCCATTCCTCGATCTCCTGCGCAAGAGACATGATGGAGGGACCAATCTCGATGGTACTTGCCCGTATATCCAGGCGAACCATCGTTTCCTCACTGCCAATCATGCCGCCGCCGAAGCTCGATACCACTAGAGCAACAATGCTAGGCAACGGGATCGTAAGCAGCAATGCCATCGGACTCCCTGCTCCGGTGCCATCAGCGGAACAAGTAGTAGCACTACTATTCGCTTCAGCCGCGCTACTAGAAAACTTTACACGTCGCCGTTGCGAACGAGCCACCTTGGCATTCGAAGGGTTTAATATTGGCAAAGTCGTAGAGGCGCCAGGGGTAGCATTGCCTTTCTCTAGAGCATACATTCGTATCTCACCACGCTCAATACGTGCTGTGAGGTCAATGTGATACAGCGTGGGGGTCTTCTCTGTCTCCTGTAATTCTCCAAGTGGACTCATCGGATCGAAATGCCGCCGCTTTCCCTCCACACTTGCCGGCGCTTCTGATAGTGATGACACCGTTTGCGATGAAACAATGTTATTCGCCATCTGCGCCACCGTCCTCATCGTCGTCGTCGCCGTTGTTGTCGCAGCAGTAGAAGCGACAGGACACGCTCGGTTGGATTTCAAAAAGTGAGGGAAGGGCTTTGACGGTATCTCCTGTGAGATTTGACTAAGAATACTCACTATACGCGTCGAGAGGGCAATCTGCGGGGCGCTCATATCGACGACGGCGCCAATATTCATGTCACTATCAGACATACTCACATGCAGGGGTATTTCAATGGAGCTGAAATAGATCTTTGACATGGAGTGACGGTACTCATTGCGTTCCAAACTGGTAAGAGTGCCACGTCCACCAAGAATGTGGGTGCTGCTCAGCAGTTCCTTCGCTGAGGCATCAGTGGCGAGAGGAGAACCGTCGCTGCAGTAGAAGTACGCGTCATCCATCGAGAGGCGGGCGGTAAATTTCTCAGTCCTCATCGTGTCCTGTTCCATGGGGCCGAAAAAGAGACCAAATTCCTCACCGCTTCGGCTCGGATGTATCACAGGAACGCATCTCCTTGAAGTGAGGAAACAGCAAGAAACCGTGGTGTTATCCACCTTCACCTTCAGCGCCATGGTAGGAATGAAACGCTTGCGGTTGAGTGTTGCCGCACCGCGCCCACTCACGTACACATCCGGCAATTCATCCAAAATGCTTCGGTACGCTGAATCGCCAAATGGCATAACAACAAGGAAATTGGTCACGTTCACCAAAAACTTATTACCAGACGTTGCGTTGAAGAAGTTCGCATCATCAGAGTCAATATGGTTGGCTTCTCCTCGTGACTCCAGTGAAATGCGCCGCGAAAACGACATGCTGGACCTCGGAATGGCCTTCGAAGCCAATTCTCTGAGGCGTTCCATCCGGCTTTGTCCTGTTTTTTCTATATCCGCGTCTATTTGTTTCCGCACACGCGCTAGGCGCCGGTACGCCGCAGACTTGGCGAGCTGTCGGCGGAACAACCGGCCCTCCCGCTGCGTCGCAAACCGCATTTTCTCCGCAAGGTCTTTGGTCTCATCAAAAGACTGTTTCAGCAATGATACCAACCCGATCCGGGCAATGATGAGCGGCGACAAGACAGAGAGATTCCAGTACATGGCGGTGCTGCTAAGCATTTCCAGTTCATTCAATGTGAGAGGAGTTCCGGGCGACACAATAAAAAGGTTCTCAAGAGCCGCCATACGCTCCTTCGTGACGCTTCTTCCACCGGACAATGTGAAAGACGTTTCGAAAAGGCCCCATATGTAGCCACCCAGCGGACGCACAGCACGCGCTGAATCATCAAAGGTCGCTGAGACAGAAGGATGATGCAGGAATGCCGCCTTGGTGCTGGGCACGGAGGCATCGCTGCGACTAACCATTGCCGCCTGGCGCAGGGAGGATTGCAGTTGATCATAGTCATCGCGATCCACGAGAGCTATCTGTGCGTTAGCGACATTTGCTACCAAGTGTGTCGGCCTCTGGCCCATCCAAGACGACATATATGCCAACGCGTTGAGCCTCCGAACAGAGAACCGAAGGTTTGTCATGGACGTCAAGTATGATATGCGAAGACCTTCTAGCAAAAACATGAAACGGCCTTTCCACCCTGACGACAGTGGTATGGGCTGGTCTTCACGGGGTGACATATTTGCATCATTCTCGTCATCCTCATCAAGAAGAACAGGCTTTGAGAGGGCTGCGTAGGCAGTTAAGAACCTGTCAGAAATCAAAAGCACATGACTTATGATACTGGGAAACACAGTAATCTCCAAACTCTCCATCAAACAGTTTCCGGTCCGCCTCGCTTCATCCTTAGCGTATATAACGTATATGTTGGGCAGCTCAACTACATGTTTCCCTGTAGAGGGGCTCTTTGAGGTCAGCGAGAATGGATGTACATTCGCCTTCAATGCCATGCGCTCGTCGGAAGATGCATTCAAAAAGGCTGATGCGAGCGGAACATTCAGTTCAACACTTATAGATTGCGGCAAATCAGTCCTCATCCGCATTTCACGGATTTGCACAGCACAACACCAGGCATACATAGTTTTGGCAGGTACGGGCAGAAATGAGTTCTCTTGACCCACAGAGGCGGCATACGAAGAGCGCATGGCTCGCAGAATCTTCCGTGACTTCACCCACTCCCGTAGCCATTGGTGGAGTTGGGGCTGTACCGTCTCAGTCGCCTGAGGACGGTACGGCGAAGACAATGTGATCTTTCCAATCTCCACTTGCAGGTTCATCTGCACACCTTTCTCTATCATCTTTGGCTCGTTCTCCGAGATGCTTTTGGCATTACCATCACTGTTGTTGACGTTGTTTTGGTCTGCTTGATGCACTCCAACCGCCAGTTGTGTGGCAGTGGCAAGAAACACACGCGACTCTTCATGAGTACGCGGTGACTCCAAAGGAGTAGTGTCGCCCACACCAGGGGCGGTGGGCAAAATGGAGTCGGCAACGTACTGCAAGAAGATAGTCTCTGCAAAGAAGAATGCACTGTTCTTAAGATGCAGCTGCGGTGTTACAGATGGCGGGGCGGCGTAACGAGTCTTCGGGGCCCGCTCCCGCGCTCTCCGTAACCACGACTGCAGTCTCTCTCGTAAATTTTCTGAAATCGCTTCTGTAAGGACGTGCGTCTGAACGCATTCACGCGAACTGACACGTTCCGTGCGGGACTCGCCATACCCGGTGAGTTTTGACCCCTTGAACTGCATAAAGTTCAGATCCGAGTGCAGCATCGACACATCCAGCTGGTGGAACGTGAAACTGCCTTTCAGCACAACACCAATCCCGGCCCCAGCTGTGCCTGTGGCAGGGGAACTCAGTAGATCGCGAAGCAACACAGGTACGGACTGGTGTGAGGCTCCCTCGTTATGGACTGCTACGCCCGCCGCACTCACCACATTAAGCTCCTTTGTGGCACCAATGATGTGCAGCACCGATGGGTAGCACTTCACAACCAGTGAATTCACTTCGCCGATGAAGTGTACTTCCGCATCGCGATGCTGTCGCCGCCGTCGCTCTGGAGGTAACAGAGAGTCCGGTGGCTCGCAGAAGGGTACAGAAGGATCGGCCGTCATTGACGGCGGTGCCGCAGAAACGGAGTTCTTCATATCACAGAGACGTTTGAGGTGCTCGCCTTTTCGCTTTATTGGCACCATCGCAAAAAACTTTGCTGATGGGCGCGTGACTTCCATGAGGTTTGCATGTTCGGTGTGGACACGCATGTAACGTCCCTCGCGATACACATCGACGAGCTCAACACGCAGTGTGTTAATGGACCCGACACCCTGCACGATGCGATTCGCCTCAATACCAAAGTTTCCCATCGAAGCAAAAGGAACATCGGACAAGGATGGTGAAAGCGACGGAAATATAAAGTCACACAGGCTATCCGCCTGCTCGTGGTGAATCACCATTGGCTCCGGCGTGGAGGCATGAGAAAAGAGCTGCAACTGACGTGGTAAGCGAACGTTGTGCAGCTGCAGAAGCATAGCCTTTATGGAACCCACATAGTGGAAGAAGTTGCGGGTAAGGTGGAAGGCAACGGTGTCCAACGTCACTCGGCATGTCCCGCTTTCCACTCCGTGTGTGGAGTCCTGCTTTCCGCGCCCGCAGAAAGAAGTAAGATAGGAAACAGCGAGGGTATCCTTTTCCTCGTCGTACGCGATGCCAGGGACCTTGATGCGAAGATTTCCCTCTCGCGCGAGCGGCTCGTACTCCACTTGCGTAATGATGGCAAGCGAAGAGAACGTGACAGAAGCGGAAATGGTGCTCATCTTCAACTGCATTGCGGCATGAGCAGGCGGCATGGCTTGCTGCATCACGAACTGAAACGAACGCACCCCAAGCATTGTTGTGTAGACGCCGTTACCGGTGGTAACACCAGGTGTCATGTTCTCCGGCGGTGGTGGAAGTTCTGTCAACGCCTTCACCTCGATACAAGGAAGAATGACGCTCACAATCTTCACCTCTGAGAGCCACCGCTTTTGGTGCACACGATTCTTGCTGGGCTCATTCCGACGTATCAGGTGCTTTTTCGAACGATTTTGTCTTCCGTTGGGGTTTATTCCAACAATGGGCGACGAATCTATTACCCTCATCAACGAATCATCCGAAGACGACATGGCGGCAGGAGGGTTAGACCTGTAGTATTGCACCTGCGCGAGAAAGCGTGCCTCCGCATCGAAGTACAACTTCTGCACGAAGTCTTTCGTCACGAGCGACGT